CTCTGAGCACCTGGGTGAAAAGTCACAGGTCAGTGTTCCACGTGCTGTGAGGGGCGGATTCCTAGGGGAGCTGACCCCTTTCCCATCATTCCTCAAGGGCCCTGCCCTTGTCCATCATTTTGAAACATTTTAACCAGACCTCCTCACATTTGAAAGCTTCCCAGCCCACCCTCTCCACCATCCCCCACTGGTCTCACCTGTCACTGCCCAGGGCAGACTCCACGCGCCCACGCGCCCACCCACATGCAGGGACCCCAGAGCTCCGTTCAGCGTGTGATCCTGGCCCTTACCAGGTTTTTCGGAGAGACCTGGGTGGGTGTATGTCTGTGTGTGTGTGCATGTGCTTGTGTTTCTTTAGATAAATCCACAGTCACATGAAATCAGTGACAGGTTGACACCGTTATTTCAAGATTCATCGCTCTGAGTTGCCAGCATAGGAGGCCTAGCCAACTCCTTCCCACCAACAACACTTTTTTTCCAGGCATAATTTATAGCCAGGGGGTGAATTTGTTTCCAAAAGATGAATATCACACTATCAGCAACAGCTGTCTCTCATTTTTTATTTGTTTTTAAATTTGACTCAAAGTCCAATTCTCTACACACATCCAAAGCTGTAAATCCTAAGGCGACTGATTACACGATTTAGTAAACAGGTTACATTATATAATGCAATTGAAGTGGGCTCCGCGGCGCCACCTACAGGCCGCCCATGGGAAGGGCCTGAGCCGGGGACCAGCATTCTGGACCAAGCTCTCCAGGCTGAAGGAAAATAAACCGACTGCGCCAGGTTGAGGCAGTTGCTCCTCAGGGAGAAGTTGAAGCCAGCCTGGTTACTAATGCAGCCTTTTGGTCCCTCCTGCTGAGTTCATTGTGTTATTTCAGCCTCCTGCAAACCTGTCTAGACATCAGAACCCAGCCTCAGGGCTGGGGTGGGGGAGTGGGGGCGCGGTGGTACCCACCTGGGGGCTGAGAGGGCTCCAGCTCTCCTGCCGCAGGGGCCTCCGTCCCTCACTCTCAAGCTGCAGTCCACTCTCAAGCTGCAATCCAACAGTTTCCCATTCCATTCGGCGAAGCCTGCGTTCAGGGCTGTCCGTGGGCAAAGACTTCCAGAACGGTTCTGGTGAGATCCCTCACTTTGCAGTCCGAGAGGGAAAGTGACTTGTACAAGCCACAAGGAAGTGGGGGAGCTGGGTGTGGATGCAGACGTTCTGACCGTAAGCACAGGCCCAGATCAGGGGAGTTCACAGGTGAGGAAACTGAGGCCCAGACAGGGAATGGGACTTCTACAACCTCTCCATGTAGCGAGGGAAGGAAAATAACGAAAACACTGCTAGTGGGTCGGAGGCCAGAAGAGAAGGGCTTTTCAGTGCCTCCTAGTGCCATGCTGGGGGGGAGGGGGGGCAGGAAAGGAGTGAGGGAGAGAGAAAGAGAAGGGAGGGAGGGAAGGAAGGCCGGAACAGAGGGAGGGAGGGAAGTCAGGTGGCCCAGGCCCAGAGTTCCCTGTCCCATCCCTCTGCCCTAAACTATGTTCTTCAGATGAATTAGACTCCAGGGCCTCAAGGATGCTAGCTTTTCCAATGAGTTTGGTAAGAATGAGTCACATCTGAGAGAGCAGAGAGGACTTACTTCTTTAGGAATAAGACACTGGACCAGCGGGGATGGAGGGGGGGGAGAGTGGATGAAGAAAACACCACTTTCAGAGTCTGAGAGGGCAGCAGTACCCCCAGCTTGTCCTTGTGCCCCGTCGTCAGTCTGGGGCCACGGGGTGGGACAGTGGAGAGCCGAAGGGAAGTGGTCCCTTCCTTCCATCTCCACTGTAGCAGGATGCTCCGTCCCAGCTAGGGTCCCAGCTAGGACAGATGCCGCAGGGGCCAGCTGGCCAGCGAGTTCCCAATTAGGCTTTCTCATCCTTCAGGCCCTGAGCCCCCAACCCCAGCACCCCGGCCCAATTACTGGGCAGCATTAACCCCTTGGTGCCCCAGGCCGTTAATGGAATGTTAATTGGTCTAATAGGTTTCATGTCAACAAGTCCTAATGAGCTCCTTCCTAACGAGCTGGGTCTTTTTGTTTCTAAGCCTGTTTGTCAACACGCTGGGGTTTGGCCTCCTGGCTAAGGGCCTCCCCCGCAGGGCTGGGGGAGCTAGAGAGTTGGGGAGGCAGAGAGCTGCCCCTGTCTACCTCCTAAAGGGCTGTCCTTCCACGCCCCTCACCCACCCAGCCCAGGCACACTGCCTCACTAGGTCCTGGGTTTTGGAAAATGGCATTTGTAGCTCTTTTTGATGATAATATCAGTGACATGAATTATTTCTTCTTGGATATCACGTGGGGTCGAGTGCCGCATTAGGCTTTCCCCCTCCTAGCTGTCACGTAATGAAGGTTCTCAGCATTAGAAGCAATCTCCCGACGCCAGCCTCTCGGTAGGAACGTTGCCCTGTGGGGAATTATTCCTGGTGTGTCCTCCATCTGCAGTCTTGGCCCTGCTCCCTCGAGTGCCCTGGTGTTTGGTAACAGCGCTGGGGCCTCTGGACAGGGCGCGTGGCTCTCCCAGCCCAACAAAAGCTCAGAAGACAGGACTGGGCGGCTGCCGCTCAGACCTGCTGCTCCCCTTCCCCCTCCCAGAGGGTGGGTTCCCCAGAGGGCTCGACATCCAGAGGTTGCCCAAGGAGCTCCCACACCCCAGCTGGCACAAAAAGGCAGGTCTCTACATCCCTCTCCCGGTGGTCCCGCTTAGCCCCCCAGCCCCAGGCCTGGCCAGCGGGCTGTCCCAAGGATGGGCAGTGCCTGTGTGGTGGGGGCTTGTGAAGAAGAGAAGGTGGCACCGTCTCCCGTCTCCCTCGCTCAGATTACCAGGGCTCTGCGCCTGAGTGAGCAGAGCGGGAAACTTAAGCCCCTGATGAAAAGGCCTTCTGTTCTCTCGCAGGAGAAGCCCAGAGGGCAATGGGGCAGTGGTCTAGTGGCCTGTGGTGACCCCAGAGCGGGGGAGGGGCGGGGCAAAGGCCATCTGCATCCTCCGAGGAAGGGCTGGCTCCTGCTCCACAGCCTGGCAGCCTCTGGACTGGGAAGTCTCCGCTCAGCCTGACAGTGGTTGTTTCTGGGAGCAGATCACTCCTAACCACCCCTCCTGACCCCCAGGCAGGGCAGCCCTCAAGTGTGTGAATATTTCTAGGGACAGCAACTCTAAAACGACCTGACCTCCCATTCATTGGACAGTGAACAAAAGAATGCAGATTAAAAGATTCTCTCTTTAGCCCAAATCCTCCTCAATGCACTTCCTTCTCTTTGCCTTCACTATGACTTTTTCATCTTGGAACTAGTTGCCCCTAAAACTGCCTGTTGAGCTCTCACCCCAGATTCTGCCCCCATACTCCCTCTGCTGGAGGCTACTGGCACTACAGCCCACCGAGGCTCACTTTCTTCCAGCAAAAGAAGCATCTGAAATTGGTGTTCCCAGAAGGGCTCTACCTTTGCCTTTGGGACCCACAGACCCATCAAAAGTTACCTCCTCTTCCAGAGTTCCAGGAAAGGCTGAGCCTACCCCCCACATCCATATTTCCTTCATTCTCTCAGGGTCCAAAGAGAGAGCTTCCACACCCTCCAGCACAGCTCCCGCACACAGTTGACATTTAGCAGCATTATTTGAATGAACACCTGGGTTTCCAGTGCTTTCCCACATGCACTTAAGGTCAAAGCATGCCTTCAGAGACAGGTCAGCCAGAACTGATCTTTTCTCTTCCTGAAAAAGAACCAGTGCACACACATGTACACACACACATGCACACACACACGCAAGCCACATAGCACCCTGGAGACCCTCCTCTTTACTTAGGCAGCTCCAGATCACCCTCAAATTCCCCCAGAATTCAGGCATGGGACATGTTGGGAGACCCTGGGGAGGGGGCTCAGGGAGAGGAGGAGAAGGATGTCTGAGGATTGTGCTCACAAACATCTTGGCCATCAGCACCCTCCCCCTGGGAGGACAGGGCCTGCACCCCACAGAGGTTCCTTGCCCCACGGTGACATGCCTGTGGTTTCTAGCTCTAAATATTGCAGGGCATCTACTGAGCCCCACAGCTCTCTGGGCATCCTGTTACCCAAGGTGGCACTGCCCGGCTAGGCTGTCTCCCCTGACGGCAGCAGCTCTGGTTCAAGAAGAAACTTGAGGCCCAGTGGAGGCAGCTTGCTTGTTGTTGTGGGGTGCGGGTCAGGGAGCAGATCAGGAACTGGGAATCTGGAGACTTGGATCCCATTCCTGTTCGCTAGCACACAGCCCCCTAACACACACACCTCATTCCTCTTGGCCTCCATCTTCTCCGCTATAAGAGGCGGGGTGGCTGTTGGGCTCTGACTCTGTGTTGAACGAAGTCCAAGGAAAGTCTCCCTTCGTGGAATGGGCAAGCACCTCTGTAAGCCACACACACACACACACACACACACACACACACACACACTCTCTCGCCTGCGATAGGCATCCTCCCCACCCCTCTCCTTCCTCCACCCTCCTGTCTAAGGGGACCAGAGCCCCACGTCCCTTCCCACCACTAGGGGGTGTGGTGAGCACACCAGGGAGCAGGAGCCAGCAGAGAGGTGGGAACTGGAGCTGGAAGGGCAAAGGCCCGAGGCCTCCCTGCCCTGACAGTGCAGGTGGCTGCTCTGAAGGCCTGGGACAGGGAAAGCACCTTGTCTTGTGGGTACCCGAACAGCCCCATTCCCCCTGTGCTGCCACCAGCCAAGCCTCTGCCCCCTCTCCTGCCCTCTCCTTGCCCTCTCCAAGCTCCAACCCCAGCTGATGCTGAGCTAAGCATGGCTTTTACAAGTTATTTTACATCTGATTTGTATATTGTTTCTTTCAAGTCAAATCTCTCAGCAAGGCCTCTCCCAGGCTTTCATCCCTTGCAGTGTCTGGTCAGTCCAGGTGGCCCAGCCTGAGGAGATGCCCACCTGCTGGTTCCCAGGCTCCCTGTGCTCAGTATTAACGTGTGGCCCCCTTTCTCCTGCCACAGATCCTTGATGTGAATCAATCCCATGATGCAACATGCCTCCCCAGCCCCAGCTCTGACGATGATGGCCACGCAAAATGTCCCTCCCCCACCCTACCAGGACAGTCCACAGGTGAGTGTCCACCCAGTGATGGGAGGGGTGCGTGCCTTCCAGGGGCTGAGGGCAGGGCCTGGTGGGTCTGGGCTCTTCCCTGGCCGGCCTGGGGAGACCTCTCTGGAGAGAGCCTGGCAAGCACTGGAAGGAAGTCATTGCATTTGACAAGCACAGGGTTCAGCTCCTATTCGCCATTGCCTAGAACACCAGGCCATGGTCCTGTCCCCACCCAACCCTGCCCTCCACTCACAGCAGACATCAGACAGATGCTCCAAACCAGGAATATTTGGTAAACGGAGTCTGCCTTTGAGTGTTTGGGGAAACTTTTAAACTAGGCAGCGGTTCTCAACCTGTGGGTCGCGACCCCTGAAAATACATCCTGCATATCAGATATTTACATTACGATTCATAACAGTAGCAAAATTACAGTTATGAAGTAGCAACGGAAATAATGTTATGGTTGGGGGTCACCACAACAGGAGGAACTGTATTAAAGGGTCGCGGCATTAGGAAGGTTGAGAACCACTGAACTAGAGGCTCTTTTAGGCCAGCCCCCCATTCATGATCACTGGAGCCCCTATGTTCACTTTCTCTGCCTGCCCATTGGAGGAATCTCCCTTCTCTTCAGGACTCGCTCAGCTTCTGTCTCTCTACGCCCTGCAGCCCTTCCCTTTGGTTGCAGTCCCCAGGGGCCTCGGAGACTCCAGCCGGTTGCAGCTCCCGGCAGCCTCTCCTCCTGGTCCCATCGCCCCTCTCCTGCTCCTGGAAGCCTAGCCCGGCTTCCTGGTTGGGCTCCTGTAGGCCTTGCGCTGATCATTTCTTACCTTTGCCCCCCTGTGTGCCTCCCACACCTCATTCTCCGAGACCCTGAGTTAGCCACGATGCTGCGCTGCCACAGCAGCCTCCATCCTCTGACCATGACCTTCACAGTGTCCTATTCTCTCTAGCTTGGTCTCACAAGTCAATATTAATTCGATAATTATTTATCAAGTGTCTGTCATGTGAAATGCAGCCAGCTAGAATATTCATTCATTAATTGAGCAAATGTGCAGTGAGTGCCTATTTTGTGCCAGGCAGCATTTCCCACTCCTTTCAGTCGTTGCCCTGCCCTGACATCCCTGCATCAGACATCTCAAACACAGCTGTCCTCATGGGCAGCCCAGGGCTGTGCGTGCAGCATGAGGAGATTAGGGTGCAGACACAGGGCAGGCCCTGACTCCCCCAGCCTAGTGTGAGCTCTAGCAGTTGCTCTATCTATCCTGTTATCCTCCTGAAACTGCACTTGGCAGAGCGTCTAGCAAGCCGGCAAAAGTGCAAGAGCACTGGGCAAAAGTCAAGAGCACTTGACTCCTCAGCCTGCAAAAGTGCAAGAGCACTGGGCATTCACCAGCCTGCCAGGACGTGTCCTTTGTCCCCACCCTGCCCCCACGAATCGACTCCATGCTCCTTCCTAGTCTCCCTGCCCTGCACTCATACCCAGCAAGCACTCTGCCCACGGCAGTAGCTTTTCATGAATTACCACAGGCTGGACTTGGCCCTGACACAGACCCTCTGTGTGAATGCTTCCGGGTGAGCCACATTGGCCCTTTCCCTCTGCAGAGTGAATGAGGAGCAGGAGGCTTGGACTAGGGCCCTGGTCGGCAAACTGCAGCTTGAGAGCCACATGCGGCTCTTTGGCCCGTTGAGTATGGCTCTTCCTAAGCCTTAGGAGTAGCCTAATTAAGTTAATAACAATGTACCTTCCTATATAGTTTAAGTTTAAAAAATTTGGTTCTCAAAAGAAATTTCAATCGTTGTACTGTTGATTATGGGGCGCGGTTACGGTGTTCTGGCCAGGTTCAAGCCTCGGACTAATGAAAGGACAGGGTCCTCTCATTGCCACGTGCAAGTCCCAGCTGGAGGGCAGGGCCCTCCCAGCACAATCATAGCCAACGGCTGTGGTTGTAAGCTTGAACCTATGGTCCAAACAGGTAGCCCCACGTGCCTTGTGGTAGAGTTCGGGTGCATGTAGTTGAGTGAGGTTGGAACTCACGAGAGTGTTGTAAACAACGTGATCACGCCCCTACTTTGCCTCGTGGCATCTGCTATAAAATAAAGACACGGCTTGTGGGCGCTGGCGCTGTCTCCTCATCGGGGAGCAGCGTCCCACCGAGACCCAGCTTTCATTCTCTTATCTGCCTTTCCTTAATCCTTTCACCCCCCCCCCCCCCCCCACTCAGTTTACCTTTGGCCGCAACATATGGCGTCCGACCAGGGACTGAGTTCTGCGACCAGGGACTGAGCTTGAAAGTAGCGCCAGAGCAGGCCCTTTGGCCGCAACAATTGATATTTGACTAATGAGTTTGCCGACCACTGGACTAGGGGAGCCCTGGAAACCAGGCCCACAATGGGGACAATATTCTTCTTCTCAGTAGACGCAGGCAGTGCTGGGGCTGGGGTGTCGGTAAAGAGCAGGAATTTGGGGTGTTCCTTTACTGTCCGGATGCTGCTCTCCAAGGGCCATAGTAGCAATGGGCATGGCAATAGGGCAGTTCCTGTGTTTAGCAGGTGGTGGGCACAAAGGCCCTCACCCCCATACCCAAGGCTCAGGGGCGACTGGGGGAGGCCAGGAGGTCGAGGGCACTGCATTGACAGCTGGCAGCTGCTGCCTCTCTCCAGCCTGTTTTGCTGCCCCGGCAGCTGGGAGAAGTTTGGGTTTGGTGGGGATTAGCAGGAGGGCTGCAAGAAGGGCCTGTGCTGCCCAAGAATGCTGATCCGAGTGTAGTTAAGTAGAGGAGCCTCAGCACACAGCGGAGCTTAATAAATCCCGGTTGCTGGCGGAACGGAAGTTGGGGGTGGGGCAGCGTCCCTGAGGCGCTCAGCGCCCTGGAAGCCACCATGGAGCTGGTCTAGCCTTTTGGGTGAGAAAGGGAAGCTCCAGTTCCCCAACAGGGACTGTCCCCAGGCTGTTGTCTCTGAGGAGTCACCAGTACTTCACCATTAAACTACTCACGGAGAGGTAGGAAGGAAGAGAGGGAGGGAGGGAGGGAGGGAGGGAGGGAGGAAGTAAGGGAAAGGGAGGGAGGGAGGAAGGAACGAAGGAACGAACATTTACAGCAGGGGAATAATTTGCCCTGGGGGAGCCACACACCTGTTTGTGACCTCCAAGATCCAGGCCTGAAGAATCTGGCGGGAAATCCCAGCATCCATAGTAGAGAATAGGCCAAGGTCTGGTGTCCTTATGGCCTTGGCTGGGCCACTGGGCTATGGCAAGATTGCCATGGGCTTCCCTGGGCTGGGCTGGTTCCCAAGTAAACCAGTCAGGGTGGGGGGAATCATGGGAGGAGTTAGGGCAGCAGTGGAGTAGGTGGGAGGGCAGAGGGGTTGAGGTCGCCAGGACATAGGCTCCTGGGGAATATAGTCTCTCCGGCGAGTGCTACACTTTGAGGCCAGTTGGCTCTTGGAGGGCCCTCCTCCCCACTCTCAGGGCTGCTAAAGTGGCTTGCGCAGAGGAATGTCTTCCTTGTGAGTTTCCTGCGGGGAACTCGCTCTGGTCCCCCTGCCTTCTTCCCACTAGGATTGCAGGAGGCTGAGCCCGCCTCTCAGGGGAGGCCCTGCTGCACTGCCCCGCGATGCTCATTATCTGAGAGCGCCAGCTGCTCTCTGGCGCTGTGTCCTCAGGAAAGCCGGGGCCAAGGGGGGCAGGGCCCAGGCACACAAGGGCCTCTGGAAGGAGGCCCACCTCCTCCTCATTCAGGGAGGTCTAATCTCATCACTGTCGGACCCAGTCTGACTTGTTTCCTCAAGGCCTGCCCAGCTGAGCACATCTCTAGGTCGCCTCTCAGAAACCCAATTTCTTCCACTGTCGGAAAGGACAGTGTCTGATGAAGTCCCCAAAATGAGAAAGGAAGCGAGAAGCAGCGCCCCTCCTGAGACCGGGGCAGCCGTTTTAATAACGTTCCCGTTGTGCTGAGGGCAAGCAGAGCCGAGCATAATCTACTCAAATGCACAGGAGAACCTCACTTTGGAAAATTAGGAATCTGCATTACAAAATTCCCAAGCCCCGGACCTTTTTTATAATAAATTAGAATTTTTTTTTCAAGGCGAGTTTTTAACTTGGCAATTTCATTTTTGAAGTTTGGGGAATAAAGTTATTAACGTGGCGGAGGCTTTTTCTCTCCCCCCATTTGAGTAGAGCAGCATTCGCGGCGCTGGCCCCGTGCTGTATGGGGCACACCACGTGGAGGATGGCCAGTCAGCCCCCACCCCTCAGTCCATTTCAGCCCAACTCGTGATTGCTTGTGCGGATGTCACTCTGTATTTACTGTGCGCTGAAGACAGACCGTAAGCTTAGAAAGTACAACAGCAGCGACCACTGGACACATCCCTATGGCCTGCTTCTTCCTGCCGGGGCTTTCTGTTAAGTTCCACCAGGGTCGCGCCCCTGCTGCTGTTTAACCACAGCACCTCACGTCCCACGTGGTAGCTGGGTCCTTGGTCAGACAGACCTCCCTGAGAGCAGGGGTGCGTCACCTGGGCTCCCACAGCCCAGCGCCCCGATTCTAAGGGACTCTCCAAGTTACTACATTCTCTACTGTCGCTTCCTCCCAGCAAGCGGCACTACGGTCCCTCCCAGAATCCCCGTGGTAACACAGTGGCCGTCTTGCTCCTTCTAGGCATACACCCCTCATTCATGTGCTCTCTCTCCACCTCTGAGAGGTCCTTCAAGTTCTCCCGTTTCCTGTAACATTCATTCCACGTGTAACATCGCCGACCAAGCAAAGTTCCCCCTCTGGTACCTCCACTGGCAATTTCAGGAAGCCCTCTGGATTTACCAGTTCCCCCACCCTCACCTTATCCACACACAAAAAACTCACCCCCGCTCTTCCTCAAACGTAGACACATACGCACCGTTCCTCAAATATCTTTGCCCTTGGCTTATAGGAAGGCAAATACTGCATCTGGTCTAGTTGTGTGTGTATTTAGTGCTCAGTCTTCCTCTGTCTGCGTGGCCCCAGCACGTGGGGCTGCATGAGCGT